TTAATTATTGATTAATCATTACAGCTATTTATAATATTTATATATAATTTATTGTAAGCCCTATTGTATATTCATGCGCACATTATGCTATAATTTGATAAGCACCATTTGGAAATGCCGCTAAATAAATATACTACGTTTTTAAATATGAAACGAAAAAATCAAACCTTGAAATTCGTGAGATGTGACAATCCTTTTCCCTGGGTTGCGGTAATACTTCTTTATTCATATGTTCCCTGAAACATAAAACATAAAACATAGGTTGATTGATTGTTTCAGTGATAAGGAAGGGAGGGAGGGAGGGAGGAAGGGATGGATGGATGGATGGCAATGTTGCAGGCCTAGGTACGTGCGAATAACCATGATTCCTCGCAAGACCCCATAAAATCCTTCTTATCAAGCCAAAACAAAAAAGCTTAAACACACTTTTCTTTACTTAAACACAGGAAAGACCCACTCGAGAAAAAACTCTTTAATTCATTTTTCTACTCTCTCCAAGCATTCTTTTCTTTATATAGAAACTTTGTTATTCTCCAACGTTACAAGGATGCACTTCAAATTTGGTAAATTACTAAAGATGCATCAAAATTTATCAACTTAAACAGGAGAGTGTTCAGCCGTCAAGTTCCTATGTTGTTTCTGTTTGTAGACCGAATGAAATTGAGAGATTTATGGAAATTCCGTTAGAACGCAAACGAACTTTAGACCGACATTGTCGAGATAAATGACTCGCGTCAGTGATTTATTCCCTTCATTTAATGCTTCCTCGCAGAACTTTAGCATCGCAGTTATATGTAACATAAATTAGACAATAAATGAAGTTAGTTTGTGAAAAGCAATCTCTCTGAACTGAACGCAAGACGTCAAGACACAAACAGGTAAGGTTTCCAAGAACAGAAAGAGTAACGATTATAATCATCGCTGAAAATGTTTTAGTTTATTCTTATGAAGATGTTTGAACTTTGGGCCGATCTAAGCCACTCGGGGCACGGCTAACGCATAGATTAAATGCCCTAAAACAACTTCAGGGCTGATCTAAGTCAGGGCATGGCTAACTCAGAGATCGAACCCTGAAACAACCTCTGGGCTGATCTAAGTCAGGGCATGGCTAAGTACTGTTTAATAAACGAGCAGGAGTGTTTTATCGGGTATAAAACACGAGGC